CAACCGCACGACTTAAATCAAACCTTGCCTTGTAGTACTAAAACAATTCAAACAATGGAAGATCTCTAATAAACCTCAAGAGGTTTCTGTCTCTGAATATATTCCCTTTTGTTTAGGCCTTTTAAGAGCACATATCTTTTTCCCTTATTTTCTTTTCCCTTCCATTTATTAGGTGGACTTCTTAGAGAAGAATATAGGTGCAAGTGCCTGCTCAGTCTCTCAGTCATATCTGACTCTCTGCGACCTGTAGGACTCTAGCCCACCAGGCATCTCTGTCTATGGGATTTTCCAGGCAAGAATACTGGAGTGGGTTGCCATTTCCTTCTCCAGGGGAATCTTCCCAACCCAGGGATTGAACCTGTGTCTCCCTCATTGGCAGGTGGTTTCTTTACCATTGAGCCACCAAGAAAGCCAGAGAAATATACAGGACTTTTTCCTAAAAGGAGAAAATAATTCTAGAATTTGAGAGTAGTCATTAAAGCAGCCAACCAGCTGAATTAAGTGACTCTTTGACATCTTTTATTTGTTTTGTTTTTGATGGTACTAGAGCTGATTCTGGAAACAACTGATCATCTGCTTCTACTGAATCAACTACCACCCTCTTTATGGCAAAATCTCCAGCTGAGATCAGCAAAATTCACAGCCCATTGCACATCAAGGTTCAAATAGATCCCTTCATTTCTTTCCAGAATTAATCAATATCCAATAAGTAAAGAAGCCTTTCAAAGCAGAAAAATCATATTAGATTATAAGGCTCAACACCTCATTGTTGCTTATACTAGTCCCTATATGTTATGTTATTTGCTCAGTCATATCCAACTCTTTGCAACCCTATGGAATGTAGTCTGCCAGGCTCCTCTGTCCATGGGGTTCTCCAGGCAAGAATGTTGGAGTGGGTAGCCATTTGCTTCTCCAGGGGATCTTCCCGACTTGGGATCGAACTCAGGTATCCCACTTACAGGCAGACTCTTTACCATCTGAGCCACAGGGGATCCCAGTGCTCCTGTTTTACTGATGAGAAAACTCAAGGACTGAGAGTGGAGGTTTGTCCAGAACCATTTAACCATTTTTGTACCTCAGTAGAAGCTCTCCTGAATTCCCATCACACTGAACATTTCTCAGTCAGCTGCCTCACCTCATAAGAAGTCCTTTGGCTCACCGTTCCTTGCACCACTCATTTATGTTGCAATAATCTTGACTCTGCTACTCTTTTCCCTCTGGCACTGATGAAGTTCCTCATGATTGCTTAACAGTGATGGGATGACCTACTGACTCCTTGCAATGGTCTTTAGGAAGTTCTCTGGGCAACTGTGATTACTCTTGGTTCACTGACAGTTCTTATTTAAAAGATGACAACGGCATATACTGTGTGGGGTATGTTATTGCAACTTCTTATAGCAGTACCTTTATCTATGGCTACTTCAGCTCAACAGGCTGAATCATATGCTCTTATGTGGGCCTGTACTTTTTAGCCAGGGATAAAACTGCCAAAATTTATAATAATAGTAGATATGCTTTTCGAGTAGCTCATGATTTTGGAAGTAAATTCCACCAAAGGAAGTAAAAAAAAGGCTTCCTTTTGTCCATCATGTGGTTTATCTTTGGTGAATTCATAAATTCAAATAGTCAGCTCCAAAACAAGCTGCCATTTTGAAATGTCTTCTTGGGAATTCTTTGAGGACCTGGGAAAAAAGCAAATGCCAGGAGACTGAATGTTCTTCTGAATTCAGACTCCATGTAAAGCTGACTTGCCTCTTCAATCAGCCTGGTCAAATTACAGATTCACAAAATCTTTGTTGACTGCCCATGATATGCCAGGAATTTGTTTTAGATTTGTGTTAGAGTTCTCTTACACTTTGGCTTGTGAGCATCACAGTACCTCTCCCTAACAGCTTGCAATATGGGTTTTACACATTTTTTTCTTTTTTTCCAGAATGAGAAACTGAATGCCCAAGACCACAGTGCTCAGAAATGACAGGAAAAGGAGCTGTGAATCAAAGTTTCCTGATTCTAAAACCAGAGCTCCTTCCACCACACTCCAGCTCAGCCTTGTTCCACATGGGACCCACATGTCCTACAGCTTGGGTCAACCCAAGTTTGAGAAGATTCCCTGAGAACAACTGGGGCATGCTCTGAGATGGCAAAATGCCACTCATGGGATCAAGGTAAAGCCTCCAAGCTGTTGTAAGTGGGAGCCAGCATGCACACTTCAGAATCTGGCATCTGAAGAAGTGATTTTTCAACAGAGAAGCCCTAGCAAACAGCCATGTTACAAGTCAACTCAGCCATGATGGAAGCACTTTTTAAAGACTGTGCTCCAATTAACAGGGTCTTTAGCAGATCCTATGCATTTTTCTCTTATCTGTGTTTGAGACTCCACCACCCCCTTTAAAACTAAGCTTGAAAGCAAATGTAGTTATACAAGGCAGCCATATTGCACAAAACTATCAACTCTTCCCCCAGAACAGATTAAGAACCTGCAGTCACTGGAAGATATAATTGCTCCCCAGTTTATGAAAAATTTCTCTCCTTCTGATTTTTTCACTTAAACTGGAGCCTAAACTAAAAGCAATAATCATATAACAAAAATGCCTCTGGGGTAATCGGGATCAGTCCTGGGGCAGCTGAGTCCTACTGTTTTTCGTTTGTACATTTTGTTTTTTTAAACTGTGTGATTAATGGAGGAGGAGACAGAGACAACAGAGGGTGGAAAGGGGGAAAGAAAAAAAAAGTGATCTGACTCTGCACAATCAAAAATGTGGAGGAAGTGAAGGTGGAAGAGAGACTGTGTCTGTCAGCTTCTCATTTAATTCCCATTGGCCAAACAAAATCATATAATTTGCACTCCCTCTCGTGCTTTTCTTCAAATAGTTTGGGAGTTAATGACAAACCAGTCACACGTTGGCAAGTTTGAAACTAAACACAATTTGCCTTCTCTCCCTAGCAGGGATAAACACAAAGATCAACAGAATGAAAGAACAATCCAGCTATATTTTCAGAGCCAAGCAGAGGTTAGGAGCCTTGGAGCCCTATGAGATTAGGCAGTCTAACTGCTCATTTTCCAAATGAGCTGGGAGCCTAGAGAGCTGAACCCATGGTCAAAGGTCACCAGGCAAGTTGTCTTCAGAAGCAGGATCTAAGTCCAGGCCTCCTGATTCAGAGTCCAGGGCTCTGGACTGGACAACAAATCATCTGAGTGCTGTTTTGTGTGGCTCTAAAGGGGGGCATTAGAAAGGGGCCCCACCCATCTACTGGCCCCCTAAATTGGAGGACTAGACAGACAGTTGTAATTAGGTCATCCCTAGGCTCTGTGCCAGGCAATGGCCTGCCTACGGGAAGCCACTGGAGACTATCATTGAGGTGAGGCTGGACTCTGAGTCAGCCATCTGTCTGGAAGGGTTTTAGATAATTAAATATGCTCCCTGGAGGCAGTGGGGATGGATGAATAAGGCCTAAAGGGGCCCCCACATGCAGCTGTGAACCGTTATCCCCATCCTTTCTGCAGTCTGGCTGAGCCCCTCCTCAGTCCTGGCAGTAATCAAGCTGACCCCATCCCTCCAGGACTAGCGTCTGCTGTCATCTTACAGAGCCCTCCCTCTGCAGGATGAAGAACTGCCCTGAGTCCAGTCCCTACCACCCTGACCCATGCTGACTGAGCCCATGCTGTGGGGCAGCAGATTCTCAAGTAGCCCATCATCACGGCTAAGCACTTATGCTCTGGAGCTGAGACTCGCTGGATCCAAATCCTGGATCAACCATTTTCCAGTTGAGGAAACCCCTGATCTCTAGACAGCAGTTTATCTACCTATAAAGTGACTTATAGATTTGTTCAGAGCATTAAATGAGAAAATTCGTATAAAGCATTCAGCATGGTGCTTGGCTGGGTTAAGCAATCAATGACAGCTGTTTTTATTGCTTAGAAGTCTTCTTTTTGCCTGGCTCCTCCACCCATCAGTCTTTTCCTCTTGATCTCTCATCTCTGTGCTGGTAAGAGTGACACTCAGAATTTTGTGCTTGACCACCTTAAGCCCCAATCCACCACATGCCCATGGAGACCCCTCAGTAGAATCTCATCTGCACAGTTACCATAGCAGCAACCAGCCAGCTGGGCTTCCTCCTCCCCAAGCCAGCCTCCCCCTGAGCCTGCCTTCACCCTCTCCCCCAACCCACTCAGTGGCCTTGCCTCCATGCAGGCTGCTGTGACTAACTGGCCTCACAGTGCATAGCTCCTGGGATGGGCTCTGACCAAGTACTAGTGTGAGACAGACACACGCCGCAGTGGAGACACAGGCTCAGGCCATTTCTGTGTCGTTAACCATGGCAGAACCTAGTTGAATGAGAAGACTTCTCCCAAAAGATTTCAGTAAACTATTTCCCAGCAGTGAAACCCATTTGAAATGCAGACAGAGAAGGACCTTGATACTCAAAACTGAGAGGGCACATTTAATTGGGATGGCAAAAAACTATTTCATTTCACTTCTCTTGGCTTAAATTTCTTTGACCCCTCTCCCCCACTCATTAGCCTTAAATCAATATTTCTCAAACTGTGGTGAAGATTCTGTTGTTTATTTTCCCCAATCTATTGGGTACCAATACTTTTTTTGTAAGACAGTCCGAATAAATTACTACCATACTAAAATGCCATTTGGATGTCACAGCAAAATTGAATTGCTACAAATTTTCATAAAGACTTTCAGTTTCTGTACTTATCTTTTGGCAAGCTAGTAAATGTTTCACAAAGCCATACTAGTCCCTGGACCAAAGTGAGAGCCACAGAGAAGTCCATCTGCCCTGGACACCCCTCTGCCCCATCGTGGGTTTTGGTCCTGTGATGTGGTCTGCTCAGCATCGACCCTGCCACACCCGGAGCATGCAATGGAAAGGATCCTGGTAGGATCTGCCCAGTCTCCAGTGAGCTCTGTTCCCTGAGGGTCAAGCCTCCCCCAGAGAGAGGGGCATGCTGCTGCATCACCAGCCATGGGCAGCACGCCGGCTCTTACCATTCCATTCCAGCCCTGTTGATCTCCTCCCACCAGCACTCCGAAGGCTCCCCCAGGCTCTGGGGTGTGGGCATGCAGGCATAGTTCCACTGTCTGTCGGAACCTTCCTTCTTGTTGAAGATGCTCCTCACGGCCACCACCACCTGCCCATGGGGACACTGGTAGCTGAAGCCCTGCCGGTTCAGATTCACCCACCCATCATCACTGTAGTCGTGGTACTGATGATAGGAGTACCCATAGTCACCGTACTGTCCCCAGGCCACGGTGACCAGTGGCAGAAGCACCCAGAGAAAAGTGAGGTCCATGCCGCCTGGGCTTCTGCAAAAAGTGTCACCCTACGTCTGCTGGGCTGCTGGTTTTATACAGCTGCTGCGGACATGTGGCTTCCAGATGTGGGTGAGCGGGCTCCAGCTGCAATGTGTCATCGTCTAAGCAAAACTTTTCGGCGCGGAAATATTGACCATAAGTACGTTCAGTTTGTCTTAAGGTGGAATTCTGAGAGAATGTAAGGAACACGCAAATGGAAGAAACTGCCAGAGAAGGAAAAAATTAGCAGTTAGATTATAAAAGCAAATGGCTTCACACTCCTCAGAAACAGTCACGTGAATAAAAGCAGTGTGTTTCTCCCTCCTCTCTTAGCACCTCACCCCTCTCTGCCCCCCACTCCACCCACCACTAGCAAACCCCTGTATTTATCCTTCAAACCACCAACCACCCTTCCAGGACCACACAAATATGCAGAATGAGATTTCAGAACACCAAAATAATAGGATGAAGGAGCAGAATCATTTAGATTTCTCTAAGTCTGGAGGCCTGCTTTTTTAAATGATTTTCTCTGTGTGTGTGTGTGGTGTGGTAAGTCACATAATATAAAACATACTATTTTAACTATATTTAACTGTACACTTCAGTAGCACCAAGTACATTCACATTGCTGTGTAAATCTCACCAACAACCATCTCCCAAATTTTTCACTTTCCTAAACGGAAACTCTGTTCTCATTAAACACTAACTCCTCATTCCCCCTCCCACTATCAGTCCACAGCCCCTGGTCTCTGGCAGCTAACAAGGCACTGTCTGATTCTATGAATTTGACTGCTCTATGTATAAGTGGAGTCAAACAGTTTTTGTCTGTTCCTACTGTATATGGGAATGCATTTTAGGGTTAATTTAATAAATGTCCTACAAACAGATTATACCTCCTTTTTAACAGTAGGCTCTTGTTAGCTATCTGTTTTATATACGTCAATCCCAATCTCCCATCCTAACCCTGCTTTCAAGTTCCCAGCCCAATCTCTTTTAACCCTGAGTATAAGCATGGAATGCGCTTCCCAGGTAGTGTTAGTGGTAAAGAACCCGCCTAACGCAGGAGACATAAGAGACGTAGGTATGATCCCTGGGTCAGGAAGATTCCCTGGAGGAGGGCACGGTAATCCACTTCAGTATTCTTTCCTAGAGAAGTCCATGGACAGAGGAACCTATAGGGCTACAGCCCATAGAACTGGAAAGAGTTGGATGGGACTGAATGACTGAGCACGCACGTAAGTATGGAATACCAATTTGCAAGCTACTCTGAGAATTTTAAAGTCACATATGGATTTACTATGGGCCTCTGGAAAGATAAATTGGGCATCATCTCTACACTTAAGCATCCTTCTGAGCTGCTGAAACTGGACCCAGATACACCTAGAAACTGTGCTTGGCTGTTCAATGCATAATGAGTTTAATCTGAATAAAGTCACATTTTATCCTTTGGTGGTTTTCCCTTTCATGTTTTGTTTTTAATTAGGTATAATTTACATATAATAAAAGTCATCTCTTCTGTGTTCAGCATACAGTCATTCATCCAGCACCATAATCAAAACAGAATAGTTCCATCAACCCTCAATTTCCCTTATACCCCTTGGTAGTCAAATCCTTCCCAATATCCAGCCACTGGTAACCACTGGACTACTTTCTGTTACTGGAGTTTTGACTTTTCTAGGATATTCTATAGATGAAATCACACAACATGCTATCTTTTGTCTGATTGCTTTCACTAGGAATGTTTTCAAGATCCATCCATGTCATTAAGTATCAGTAGTTCATTTCTATATACTGTTGGTATGACTGTACTACAGACTGCTTATATACTACCAGTTGAAAGAATGTCAGTTTATACAGAGTATCAATAGTGTATATACATCAATCCCAATCTCCCAATTCATCCCATCCCCCTCTACCCCCTCCATGGTATCCATACCTTTGTTCTCTACATCTGTATCTCTATTTTTGCTTTGTAAATAAGGTTGTGCTGTACAGGAGAAATTAATATACATTGTAAAGAAGCTATATTCCAATAAATTTTTTTTAGAAAGAATGTAAGTTTGGAGATTGGGATTGACATAGATACGTTACTATGTATAAAATAGATAACTAATGAGAACCTACTGCATAGCACAGGAAATTCCACTCTGTGGTGATGTAACTGGGAAGGAAATTTATAACTGATTCATTTTGCTGTACAACAGAAACTAACAACATTGTCAAGCAACTACACCCCAATAAAATTAATATTTTAAAAAACAAAAAAGGAATATAAGTTTCATGCATGTGCAGCTCACCATGTATTTTCAACTAGGTTATTATATTATCTTTCTCCCAGCCTTATATAGTAATGAGGCATTATTGTGATTCCCCCCCCCCCCCAGGTAAGAAAACTGTGGTCAGGAAGTTTTTTGGTTCAAATTCCTAGAGCTGGAAGGTCATGACCCCCAGTTCTTCTGAGTCCTAGTCTGTGATTCCTTTCATCATTTTATCAAAACTGCAGTCTACCAATTACACTAGTACATCAATGTTTAGCAATAATTTCCAAATAAAATATTTATAAGGTTATTAATATTAAAACACACACTGAGCCTTCCCTGGTGGTCCAGTGGCTAAGACTCCATGCTCTCAATGCAGGGGACCTGGGTTCTATTCCTGGTCAGAGAACAAGATCCCACATATCACAACTAAAGATTCTGTATGCTACAAGGAAGATAGAAGATACCACCTGCTGCAACTAAGACCTGGTGCACCCAAATAAATGAATATTAAACACACACACACACTAATTCACACTGTGACTTCTGTTATTGTTGGCAAAGTATGCTCAGTAGGCCCTGGGGAACTTTGAGAACGAAGTATTAGATTAATAGTTTTCAAAGTGTGGTTCTAGGACCCGCAACAGCAGCATCATTTGGAAAATTGTTGGTAGCTCAAATTCTCTGGCCCTGTGAAGTGAAAGTCATTCAGTCGTGTCTGACTCTTTGTGACCCCATGAACTATACAGTCCATGGAATTCTCCAGGCCAGAATACTGGAGTGGATAGCCTTTTCCTTCTCCAGGGGATCTTCGCAACCCAGGGATTAAACCCAGGCCTCCCGCATTGCAGGCAGAATTTTTTACCAGCTGAGCAACAAAGGAAGCCAAGAATACTGGAGTGGGTAGCCTATCCCTTCTCCAGTGGATCTTCTCAACCCAGAAGTCAAACCAGGGTCTCCTGAATTGTAGGTGGATTCTGAGCTATGAGGGAATATTGTCAGTTAGAACAGTAAATATTTACAGTGTTACTCTAGAGTTGATCTAAATCTACTATTAATAGATAAAACCTGTTGACTCCATGGACAAGGTATTAAGGGCAGAGGACACGGCTCTTCCTAGTGCCTAGAGGAAGGTGATAGCCCCAGATGAACAGATATTTAACCTAAAATATGGACTGGAAATAATTGGAAAATTCCAATTTTGCATACTTACTTTTTTCCCTTTTAACTTCTGTGTATTATGAGGATTTGGCTACAGTTCTACCGACTAGAGTGACTTCGTACATATGCAGTTCTTTGTGGCTAAATGCATGCTAAGTCACTTCAGTCATGTCTGACTGTTTGCCATCCTATGGACTGTAGCTCGCCAGGTTTCTCAGTCCATGAGATTCTCCAGGCAAGAATACTGGAGTGGATTGCCTTGCCCTCATCCAGGGGGTCTTCCCGACCCAGAGGTTGAACCTGTATCTCTTATGTCTCCTGCACTAGCAGACAGGTTCTTTACCACTAGTAGCACCTGGCTATACACAGGGTCCCTATATACATACTCTCAGGAAAGCTGGTGAGTGTCTGCTGAACCATTCATATTTCCCCTCTAAAAAGAGTGTTACCAGCTTCCCAGTTTATCTGCGGAAGGTCTGAATAGCCCCGGCACACACAGGCTGTCCTCCTCTTCCTCAAGCTGTCTCTCTTTGTGTGATCCTTTGCTTTCCTGTGATGGAACCCACCTTTTTGCCATTTGAAGTTAACTCTGAGAGCTAAAGTGTTAAAAAATGCTCATATTGGAGGCAGCAGAGAAAGAGTAAGGGCCAAAGTTAAGGAGAGAAGATTGGGAGGTAAGAATAAAGTGCGTCTACTGTGTGTTGGATTCTCTACCATGTGCTTCACATTGGACAGACCAGTTAATCTTCCAGTGGTTAATCTAGGATAACCATTTTATGGTTGAGGAAAATGAGGTTCAGAAAGCATTAGTCATTTGCCCTAATTTTTCATAGCTAGCTCAAGGCACAAAGGGGACTTCAATGAAATCATCAATCCTTTTCTCATAATCAGGAGATGATATTAACCAAGGTAGTGATAAAACCTGAAAGCAGTGGCACAAGATCCCCAAAAGAGCAGAGGCTCAAGGACTCTAAACAAGTGGGTTAGAATCCTGGTTATGCAAGTAAATGAAACTAGACCAGAGTTTCACGACCTCAGAACTATTGAAACTTTGAGCCAAAGGATTCCTTGTTGGGGATACTGTCCTGTATGTTGTGGGATGTTGTGCAGCATCTCTGGGCTTTATTGAGTAGATATCAGTAGATCTTGTCTGCGCAATATGTGAGAACCAAAAATGCCTCCACATTGCCACCTGTTCCCTGGGAGATAAACTCATCTCTGGCTGAGAACCACTGAGTTAGACAAACCTGTTTCATTGTCTGTTAAATGAGCGATAATAACCACCATGAGATTGTTGTGAGAATCTCATCAAATTGTGGTCTGCCAAAGCCGTTGCAAATTCTAATGCTTGACACAAATGGAGGTTGCCATTATCACCCCAGAGAAACTCCAGACACTGGATCGGTGGCATCATTAAGCAAATTAGTGTGATGAGCAGCCGAGGGCTCAGCAGGCGGCCGAGTGTCCTTGCATAGACACGTGACTGGTGCAATCCGTTTGGGAATGAGCAAAGCTGGGAGCCTGTTGTTTCCCCACCCTCAGAAGGCTGCATTAGTCCACATGATGAGTGTGGATGGCAG